GCGTGTTCTCAACGACATTAAAAGGTCTGCAGTTTGTTGTAATTCACTTGGCAATTGTTTTAGTCAATATGTCCGAGGTAGACTTTCTGAGCCCCCGATGCTCCGTGAGTGGTTTGTCGCAAGCTGGATGACGTGTTAGCCAAAGTCCTAGCAGCATCCCTGACTAGAGTATGCTTCGCGTCAATGTGATATTTTAAGCTGCAAGTGCTTCAGTAAAAAGAAAATTCCTTCTTGCACAATGTGATTGGTTCAGCTGCCCGTCACTACCAGATTTACTGCCCATTTGCGCGTGTGCGAATGTAACTACTTGGACAAACTGCTAGAAATGTGTGGACAGAAACATTTCAGGAATTTTGAGTCATTCTGCCCTCCATACTCCAGATGCGTTAATAGCATTAAAAAATGTTTATCGTGTTAATCGTGATGGCGGCTTAATCTACGTTAACGCGTTAATTTTGACAGCACCAGTTTTTATATATGTCTATATTTATAATATAGCCGTTTCCTTACAAGTAAAAAAGAATAATGATTAAATAAAGGCCTATGAAATGCTAGAGACAACATATTATCCAAGATATATATATATATATTTATTTTAGATTATGCAAGAAAAGTCCAAACTATGTCTTTGGAGCAATACTGCAACTCAGAAATGAACTTTATGGCTCTTAAAACATTCTTATACTTTCTGGTAGTTTTTCTTAAACTCATCTAATTTGAAATATTACTCAAATGTGTTAATTCATCAAAACCATGTTCAAGAATGTTCCAGTTTAAATAGGTTTAGTTGTACAAAACAGAAATAGGCAGGTATTTACGCTCAGTTCTGCAGATATGCCTCGATCCGTCTCCCGCAGTGAACTCCATGGAAACTGACCTGTGACTTTGTAGACATTCAAAGTGATACTGAAAATGATATGAAAAGTGGAAAACATCAGTACAATAATGCTTTGCAATTACAAAATACACCCACTGAAAGTTACGGCAAAGAGTGCTCAAACATTTACCTACTTAATCCACAATGTCAACAACAGCATAGTGAGGGTACTTACAGCAAGTAGAGAAACACGTATAACATTATGATTTAATACATTTTAAAATATTTAATTTTCTAGACTGAAAAAAATGTAAATTCTACTGTTTAACTTGTTTCTACATTGATATTGGGTGACTCAATACAGGTAATGCCTATGTGCACATCATTTTCATGTCTTACTTGCGTTCAAAGTTTCCTGGTTGGGGTTTGAAGAAAGACAGACCGTATGATGTCTCTTTGGTACCATAGGAGAACTGGAATGTCAGTTTTTCTGCCCGACCCAATACATTGGGTAATTTTAGGCCTAGTACCTGAAATGAAGGAGAATCAACAAACTGATCAGCATTTTCCTAATATTTATAATATTCAAAATACACTGAACTAAACAGCTGCATTAACACACACAGAGAAAAATATACAACACTGCATTACTTTCAGAGAGTGGAAGATGACATAAGCTCTTTTTGGCACTAACCATACTGCCTTCATTGTTTCCAACCATTGTGTTGTAGCTGCCTGTCATACGTCTCAGCTCTGTGACCTCAAAGGTCACATCAAGGCCATTAGGAAGAGCATCCTCCCCTGAAGAGAAAACAATTCAAAATATCTAACTGCTATACATTTACTCAGAAGCAATTACATCAATGCAGTACCAGTAAGAAAGTAGTAGAGTTCTTTCCAGTTACCCGGGTTTGTTTATAAACTTGTATAAACTGATGTGGAGTGTGTGTGTGAGCAAACTGCAGAAGTGCAACAATTTTTTTAAACAGCTTTTTCTGTTGTGTGTCAACATGGTAACCTGCATATTGTAGAGACATGTATTGGCACATTAACCAGCTCCTATAACTCATTTAAACCTTAAGCTGAATCTAGAGACCTGAACCTGAGATCAATGTTGTTTCACTTCATGGACTAAAGGTTTGCCAACTCTAGTTTCCACTTTAAATGTCAGTAGTCTTGGTATTCATATTCTGAATCCAGACAAGTGACAAGGTCAACTTTGGGCCACTGGATGTAAACTGTGAAAGTTGCAGGGTGGTAAAACACTGTTTTCATGTTTGTTACTACACAAGCATGAAAATGTATGTAGAATTAAAAGTATTTCTAGTTCTATACAAGTTAGTTGTGCCTTTTCCAATATGATCTGTAAATTTATGTGTATATCTAGTAACAGCAGAAAATGAACATACAAAAACAGAGCTCTATTGCACAGATTTTGGGGACTAAGCTGTCTTTAACTTTGCTTTAAATATGATGAGATTATCTGTCCTAAGAATAAACTTGTTTTGCATTTACAGAAAGGTGAAAACTGAAGGAAAAACATTGTAATTATGTAGTTATTATGCATTGATTTTATTTCTCCAGCCCACTTGAGAGCAAATTGGCATGTATATGGCCCATGACCTAAAAGTGAGTTTGAATAATGTATTCAGCATGAACAATAAGATCAATTGTCTGCTATTAGTCAAAACTAACTTGTGTTTATACATTACTGTGACCCAGAAAATTGGCTGGCCATATTTTAAGACAACTGTATTCATAAATACAACATTTCAAAAAGGTTCAGTTACTTTTTCTTGCCACTATATCTCACATGAATAAGCCTGCAATTGGACAGTCATAACTTTTAGATTTATGTGTGGACAACAAGGAAGAGCATGTGAATAGCTGTCTATGGAGTAAATCTGGAATAGTATGGAGAAGAATTTGAACAGATGCACAAAATTTGTGTGTTAATCAGTTAAAAGAATATATTAAAAACACTTACAAAGAAGTATTTAGATGAGACAGGGTGTTAAATACTTAAACTCTAAATTTTGATTGCAATGGTCAAAGTTTAGTGTCATAACTATTAACATTTAAAGCTTGTGTGCATGTATATATTACACTCTATAACAAAAAGAAATATGATGAGTTAAATAGAGATATGAATGAACAAGCATTTGCTTCCTCCTATGTCTTTTTGAGCAGGACATGGTCAACATTTTTCATCACGAGAATAGGTTGGCTTTCTTCCATTTCTTCTTATACGTTTGAGATAAAGACTTCATTGTAATATGTCTGATATGTAATCATAACAAAGTCATTTTTGAAGACCACACAGTGACTGCCAGTACCTCGTGAGGTGTCGATAACAACTTCAACTTTTCTGAAGATCCCGAGACGCAGAAGCTTCTGTCGCGCTTCATGGGACTTTCGCATAACCTGCACAACAGTTTGAACCATGTGTTACAACTACTCACAACCATAAGCTGAACAGGAAACAATCATTTCACACATATTAATATGTACCTACATCAATCAAGTTCTTTGCCTGGAAAACATCTGAGATTTCATAAGTCAGCAGGTCCTCTTTGGTTCTTCCAAGCCCGTCTATATGCACTTGTTGAACCACAACCTGAAAAACAGAGAAGACAGACGCACAAAAAATGGTAAAGATCCCAAAGAAAAAAAAATATACATTTATTTATATATTTGTATTTACATAAATGTTATTATTTAGATAAATTGGCTAATTGTAATATATATATAAATAATACTAAATAATATTAAAACAATGATATTGTCAAGAAAACACCTTTTTTAAGAGTTATCAAGCAGAGTGTAATTATAGTGTAAAGATGGGTATTGCAATGTGACAGTGGTAATCAGAGTACGTCCCATTTACAATCTGGCACAGAATAAACCTTACATCTTTATTTTCAAGAACTTCTTGTTTCGGCTCTTGGTCCATCTCCGGAGCATCAATGTCGTCAGCTTGAACTCCTAACTCTGGCCCATGCATGGGCAGAGGGTCTAGGCTCTGCAGGACATAGTAAAATGGATATATTGGATAATTGGATATATAATTACTTCACAGAGTGTTTTACTGAACAAACAAAAATGACTGTGAAATTAATTGTGCATATATGTGAATATGTGCATAGAATCTATTTTATTTTTACAGGGTGATTCAGGCTTGGGGCTCTATATACTGTTGGGGACATTGAGGTCAGGTCTGTGGAAATACTTCTAAAAGGTTAAGGTTTCATAACGGGAATTACAATAATTTACTTTTCTTTTTTTTTTATTTTTAAATTAAAAAAAAAGTTCTCCATCATTTCCAAAATTCAGATGAAAAAAATCAAAACAAATATTTAAACTACTTACAACCAAAACTGTAAAAAATTTTTTTACAGTTTTGGTTGTTGTTATTACTTATTAAAGCAAGTCAGTAAACTGCATCTATCTGGCTCAGTTTTAAAGATATGGTATCATCGATAAAACATGTGAGACACTCGTTATCCTATTCACATATGACCCATTTATTAATAAACCCATACCCGCAGCCCTGTACTAGATAAATACATAAACATAATAAGTACAGCAGTGGGGGGGGGAAAAACAACCCTCACTTAAGTTCATTAAGCACACCAAAGCCTTTCAAACTGCAGCAAAAGGAAAGACACCACTAGCATGCTATGAGTCTAAAACACACAGTTGGAATAGCTTCTTAGCATTTTACCGTGGTTAATAAAAAACTACAACTTGTGGCCTGAATGAATCCAGTCTCTGTACAGTGAGCTGAATGCCTGAGCCTTGTTTGTATCTTGTTGAATTACAGTGCAGAGGGCCTCTCACTCCAGCAGCCGCTCTGTCAGATAACTCACTTAAACACAGACACGGAGGTCAAAGTCCCAGCTCGCACGTTTAGCGGAGTTTTGCTTACCCTGGCATGGACGGTACCCATGCTGAGCTCCGCAGGGCGCTGTCCCAGCAAAAACTGACGAAACTTTGAGACGAAAAAGATAAACGAATTTAACCTACAAGTCACCGGAGAAAGGCGATGGTCCTCCGTATAAGGACGCGGACATGTCACTTCCTGACCACGCCTTCTACCAGTGCGCGTTCAAGACAACCACGACGGATAAAGGGAAAGCAGTCAAACTGCAATAAATACAGTCGTTATTCCACAAAAACTGTTTTACTGCGGTTCTAGTGCTAGCAGAAGTACTAACAATCGTGAATATAATGTTAAACATGAACATAGATGTGGATAATGACAGACAGAGGTCATTTCAACAGGCTGTATTGACTACAAACAAAGGCAAAAACAAACCATTAATGCTGTGCCTTTTTTGGTTTGAATTTATTGGTAGATAAAGATACACATTTTAACATTTCAAACTAAACAGTTCAAAGCTGGGCTGGGCAGTAGCCTCAACACTTCACAGCTGTACATAAGTTGCTGAGCACCTCTCCAGACCTTGTGTCCTGTAACAGAAAAATAAGTTAACAATCGCCCTCGCAAAACGCTGCGTATTAAAATTCTGGTAAACACTGTGTTTGTACCACTGCTAAGCTCTACTTACGCTTCTGTTTTGAACGTCTCATGGGATATCCGATCTTCATTTACACCATCGGGACATTCATTGATGTCTTTTATGCCCATCATTGTCAAAGCTGTGGGGATGAATGGTTATTATTATTACAATAACATTTTGCTATATAAAGAATGAATACATTTGCTACATAATTTTGAGGTCTGTGAAGAGAAACAATAAGGGGAGGACGTTCAAACTCGTCACAGAAAGGCCCCAGACTAGATTTGAACCCAGTATCTTTGGGTTGTAAAGCAACAGTGCTTCATTGTTGATTCCTTCATTTTATGTCTCATTCAGCTCCATCCCAAGTATTTAAGGTGTCGCTTCCTGTCCCTGTAGTTCAGCACTCACCTTGTTTGTACTGGACAAAAGAGATGTATTGTTTATTATCAGGGTCCATAATCCTAAAGACTACATCCAGGTTAGAGTCATCGAACAGATTTGGCCCAATCACACCACTCTGTTGAGACAGCTTTAGCTGCTCCAGTTTTTCAATAAGAAACTCCCTGGGTTTCTCTGAAAAAATACACAAGAAACAATGTAAAACAAAACAATCATGGTGGACATATGGTGATGAAAATTAAAAGCAAAATGTTAGTACCATGTTAGAGTAACACAAAATAGACATTTCTCTCAAGAGAAAGAGCAGTTAACCAATGAATATTTTATCTAGCACAAAATAAGTATGTAGAGCAACAAAGGCTATGTCTGCAATATTTTACAGCTGGATTTCAGTTCATTATAATCCCCTGCTCAAAAACTGTTCTGGGTCAACAAACAGGTGTTTTAGTCCTTTAGTTTCCCAGTAAGTACATATGAGCTAACTTTCCAGATTTTGCAGTAGCTTTTTGTTTTTAGCACAACCGGATGCAGTGCCTGTATAAGAAAAGACCAAATAAGCTCTAACCGGGTCTGTAAAAGAAGAGCATGCTAGTCAGGTTGTCCATAAGCTCGATGAGTTTGTGTTTCTCCAGATAAACAGCTGCGTCTTCCTCCCTCCGCGCCGCCATCTTTTCCCCTTTTGTTTGAACCTGTTGCTATGATACGCAGGTCGGGGTCAGGGCTGTGTCCAGGATGTTTTCACTGGGTTGGCACACCGAAACCACGAACAGGGAAGAAAAGATCTGTCTATAAACTATCGAACCTACAATTTAAAAATGTACGGCATGGAGTACAAAGCACGACATCTGCATCCATATAGCGGAGCAGAAGCAGAAAGTAGCACAACACAGAAATACGTAAATAAAGTATGAAGTACTGTTTTTCAGTAAAGTACTTGAGTAAACGTACTAAGTTACATTCCTTCTGTCTTAGCCATATTCTTATCCAACAGTGCTGAGCAATACAAGTACTGGTGACTGTGCTTTTGTTGTGACCACCAGGTTTTTACCACTTTGTAAAGTACTTTATTGTGAAGTTTGTTCTTGGAAAGTGCTACATAAATAAACCTTACTTGCTTATGAACTGGTCAGAAGAGAAGCAGGGCAATAATATTTGATCGGAAGCCAGTCTTCCCATCAAATATGCTGCCTGAAGCATTATCTACAATACTTGCATGGTAAAGCCATTTAAACAGCATTTATATAACTATCAACTGAACACGATTAATAAATGTGTAAAAGCTAGGCCCAAATTAAAGTTTTTAAAAAAACCTTTCTCCTCTGGAAATTATAACACCATCTTGGCTTATGTGTAACCCTCTCAGTTATAGTGTCAGTTTGTATTGATAGATAGGAGCTCCCTCAAACAATCAGTGTTGGGGTCTTATTACTTTACTTATGTACTCCTTCGTAAAAAATAATTTGACACTCTACTTCTCTGTAGCACTTATCAATTGAAAGGCATTATTTCCATTGTTATTTAACCTTAACTTAAACTTTACGCCTGCCAACATGTAGGAGTTTAGACTTGTGATCTTAAAAAAAAAAGGACTGTCAAAAGCTATTTTGATGAAAAGCACTTCAAGCTTGAATACAACAAAAAATGTGATCAAATGAATGCATTGCATGCCACACTATACTAAGAACACTTCATATCCCCCTCCCTAACCAATTACAGTCAACATTAAAAATCATAAGTCTCATGCTGTCATCCAATGAGTGGAACAACTCCCCCGCCCAAAAAAATATCTATTAAATTTTTTTGTTCCAAAAAAGGAAATTGTATGCATTTCAGTTTAAATCACTCTCATGTACCACAAAGTGCTGCCAAAATTCTTGTTTGATGTCTTTTTTTAATTGAAAACATTTTTATCTCCATGGTGGAGGCCATAAACTCTTTCATGACTCCAAGTCCCGCTATATGTTTTCCTGATTAAAACCTCAGAGTATTTTGCACTTCAACAATGCAAACACATTCAAGAAGGAAGAAGAAATGCAATAACAGCGGGGGGGGAGAGACAATCCGGATAAGATCCTTAAGATCCCTGATAGCCAATGGTATGGTACTTTATTCTTCTCCTGTTTGTCCCATTAGAAGAAACCACAGAAGATATTTATGTGCAGACATCCCACACATGACATAGTGGGGCTAGTGCTATCCGCTTCTTTCAGTGTCTGTCACACAGAGGATGTAGATCCACATCAGCCGGTATCTCGTTCAGATTTAACCTTCTTTAAGGCTTCTTCTCTGACTTTGTAGCCCTGCAGCTCCGTTCGAAGCTCACCAGGCTTTGGTGGGACGTCTGGTATACTCTGAAAGAGAACAGCAAGCACGTTTAACTCAGCCTGACAGGTGAAAGCTCATTGGTTGGATGCATCTGTGAATACAAACTGCTCACAAATTCCAACCACAATTTCCCTGCATAATATGTCAACTCTAACCAAAGAATCAGACATCAACATACTTCCAGCTGAGAAACAGTGACAGCAGCTTGAGGTGTCTGGGTTGGCAGTGATGCCATTTTTGATGTGATGCTCAGCAGAATGGCTGAGTTGATGGATTTTGAGTGACCACCACAACAGGTAGTAAACACAAACTTCTCTCACCCCAACCGGTCACAGCAGATGGCCGCCCCTCCCTGAGCCTGGTTCAACCGGAGGTTTCTTCCTGTTAAAAGGGAGTTTTTCCTTCCCACTGTCGCCAGAGTGCTTGCTCATAGGGGGTCATATGATTGTTGGGTTTTTCTCTGTATCTATTATTGTACGATCTACTGTACAATATAAAGCGCCTTGAGAAGACTGTTGTTGTGATTTCAACATTATCTTTTTTTCCCACATTAAGGCAACATCAATACAAAGAAAGACTGCAGTCTTCCTTTGAAATCAAAGGAAACAATAAAGATGTACTTTCATATAGTATGGTGGGCCAATGGTAATGTCTTTGTCAGTAAGGAGGCTGTAAAACTGGTCATAACACTGCTCTACAAAAAATATTTTTTGTTTGCTACTTATAACTTCACAACGTCAGCTCTTTATCGATCCGATATAAGCTTACTGATCAGATTTCTGAGATACACGTCACTGACATTCTGAAACTTTTCAATATCAGTGTAATATAATAATAAAACATCTGGAATTTAAAGAATGTACCACCAAAATTGTTTTAAAGATTATTTCTGTTTAATTAAATTCCAAATAAAAAGAAGTCGGTGTGCTCCAAAAAGGTTTAAGGCACTTGCTTATACGCTTGGACCGCACACCCGTCTCTCTCTGCAAGAACAAGCAGTTTATGCTCAGATTAAATTTTCGCTGCTATTGGTTTTCTTTTACTTTGATATTTCTACAAAATCATTTCCCGTGTTCATTGCTGACATCATCAAGATTTCCAGATAAAAAGGAGAGATGAGAATGTAAAAAACTCTGTTAGCCTGCACAAATGCTTCCCATGCTGCTTACTCACTTTCTTTTTGAACTCATCGTCATGCACCAGTTCAGGGATTTCAGGACCAAAGAAAACAACTCCCTGAATTTTGGCTTCACTTTTCTGGTGACCAGAAAACCTAAATCTTGGCATCCTTGATGAAGGTCTCTGCATGGGATAGACTGAAGTGTTTGTTCGACCAGGCCAATGTTTGACAATGTTTTCCCATACTAGACAGTATAGTACAATCCTGGGTCGATTTGGTAAATAGAAGCTTTCAGTTTTGGCCTTTGTTTACTTCTGTTGATACCTAAGGCTTAATTTTGTCCCTCACCAGATCAGGCAGGTAGTATTGATGGACAGCCTGTGCTCCTGCAAACATGGCCAAAACACTGGCTCCTAACATCCGGACGTACCGAGCCCAAGACACCCCAGCTGGCATCTTCACAGACTGATCTGACTCAACCTGGAGGAAAAGATAAGTGACCAGGTTCAAAACACTGGTCAAAAACAGCACACAATATATGAAGAGATAGAAATTAGTATAGATAAACAATACATTTTCAGCTCTCCTTTTCAATCTGGTGCTAAAAATATAAGCATCCCCTTTTCTTCTTAAATAAAACTATAGCTGTCTACTAAAATTAGCACCACTGCCATTTAGTTGAAGATGTTTAAAAACTCAATACAACGCCGGGACGCTGTGCATGCAGCACTGTCAAAGTACTACCATGTAGCTAAAGTATCCCTTTTCATATTACAAATGTATGGCAGACTGCACATATTGTACAGATGCACTGTATATGAATAATTCACACATCCACAGCCGCTATCCATTCACATGATGCTACTGATTAGCCATAAAACACGCTGTTTAAAAACATCCAAACACGGAGACTGTTAACACAGAACTACACTTTAAAACCTTAACTTAATTGTTCCCGTCACAAATAAGTAAATGTCCACAGTCTAAAGCTCATTCTTACTAGCTTAAAGTCAAGTGTCTGTCATTGAGGACCAGAAGCAGATCGTGACGTTTATCTAACTACTGGCAATTCTTTGATAGAGAGTCCTCACTCTGTCTTTTTTTCCATGGACTCTTATTTCCTCTCAATTGTACGATAAATCCGCCTCTGATTTTATGGAGAAGTAATGAGCTTTCCGTAAATAAACCATCTTCGGTTGCAGTACTCTTCTACAGCATAAACTCGTATTGATACACGGCGATAAGTGCCGTCTGTCGCCGCTTAGCGGTAGCTTGCGTTATCTCGCAAAGTTTTAGTACAAGGCTCTATAATAAGTGTTATGTGTCAGATTTCACGAATACAGTTCTAAATGATCTGCAATGTTCTTCTTAGTTTTCTATCGATTATATGACGTCACCGATGCATTTAAAATACTCGTCGAAATCCGATCCCTGCAGTACGCACAGTGACCACAAGGCGGCGGTAAGCATTTCAGCCAACCGGATCAAATCGAAATGTTGAGCGTTTAAATGGTCTTTGTTTTGGGAAGACTCCCAGTCCCTATTTCCTTATTTGAAAGCTAAAGAAATGTATGACAGGTATGTTACTTTACCCATTTACATTTATGTTTGTTAATATTAAATTGCGTTTTTAAAACAACTGTAGAACTTCGAAATCTCGTCAGTTTGCTGTTAGCTAAACCTTCCTGTAGCATCTGCCTTTGTGCCAACAAGCTACTGTGTGCGCTTTACCGCTTACATTTCTCATGTTTATCCATGAGTTTGGCAGCAGAATAAATGTTAATGTATTCAAATAAGTCAACAGTTAAGATGGAAGAAAACCAGTTTACTTCACTGACGGTTCCCTCGGATTATTTTCAGCAGTGGTGAGTTGGTGTTGGAGGTGGCAGGAGGTCTGGGGAAACTTGTCATGTTATCTCCTCGACTCGTTTTCATTTTCATGCATGATGGAGGAAAATAAATGTCATTTGACACTCGACATCATAGCCTACACATTTGTATACTTTATATTTAGGATTGTAGCAACTGATAAGTGTAATTGTGAAGGATAATTGACTACCGTAATCCATGATTCCTGATTAAAGGGAAGTAGGGGTAATTATGTAGGAATAATATGAAACAGAAATACTCTGGATTTAAATTTAGGCATGCAAAAGAAAAACAATACTTGTACAATCTGAATATCTTGATATATTCTGTTATGTTTGTCTGACTAATTTAAAATATTTTTTCTTACATTTTTAACATACCAGCGCATTATCCAGCATTTATTACACCTTTGTTTGCTACAGGCCTTTTTTTAACTGCACTTGTAAACTTTGTCACCTGTAGAGAGTCACGTCAGTTCACGCAAGGTTAAAATGAATAGTTTACACATTTGGCCTCTGTTTGTCTTTGTATCGTCATATTCTGCAAAAGTATCTTCATTCCATTCTAGTCAACCTTGTGATTATTGTAAAAATACACAATTAGAGGTGCAAAAAGGTTAGTTTTTGTAGGTTGCATCATCAGAAATGATCAGTAAACTAGATAAAAGCAATGAACAATAATTGAGGTGCCTGTTTTACATAAAAAACAGTAAATGAAATGCAGAAAATATGAACTAGTGGATGTCAGCGCATGTGTTTTTGCAAGTATTGTGTCCTGTGTTTAAGTTTTATTCACCCACTTCTCCACACACCACATTTTCCTGATGTACCTGGATCCTGTTTCATGTCCCTTTTTTTTCTTTTCTTTTTTTGCTTAACTTCTTCACGCCCTCATCTCTACTAGGTACCAGTCCAGCCAGCAGTACCCTGAGGTACAGCATGTGGCACCCTATCCCAGCATGGACCATTACACTGAAGGTCCCGTGGATGAGCCTGTCATGGCCGAGCTATCTGTTCACCGGGATCCAAATTTTTATCAGGAACCTTTTTACACGAACTACCTTCCAGCCCCAAATCATTACCCGGAGCAGGTGTCTCAGCAGAACATCAGAGAGCACCAGCAGCACCCAGATCTTGCACTCCTGCACCACCCACGGCATCAACATACACAACACATACAGCATGCTCAACACACACAGCATACACAGCAGCACGGGCCAAGTATTCAGCACCAGCCTTCAGGTCCACCTAAAGGTAATGGAAGATGCTACAATCACAGTAGTTCTTCCCAAGAAGTTTCAGATCTGATGTATTTTAAATATGTGTGCTGCCATTTGTACAAAAAACTACTTTTGCCTTCTGTTTCCCATAGAATAATTTGGAGACATTTAACTACAGTTTAAAGGAATGAGCTGCATATGAACCAGACAAAAGACATCATAAAATACAAATCAAAATTCCTCAATAGGTTGTTCAATATACGTTCTCTGAGATCCTGTCGCCTGTATTTTAATTGTCTTTTTTTTATTTGTTTGTTTTTGATTCAGTACTCAATAAATTCCTCTTCTTTCTTAGACGTGACACCAGTGAAGAAGAAGAGAGGTCGACCTCCGAAACAGCAAGCGGAGGATGGTGAGACACGTGAGGAGGACGACGAGGTTGAGGCTGCCAAAAAAGCCAAGAGAGCTCTCAACCGCTTCAACGGCATGTCAGTGGCTGAAGTTATGGCTAAAACACTGCCAGATGTGATTACCTACAATCTCGACATTTTGATAGTGAGTTATTTTGTATTTCCAGTTTTGTTCTGTGTTTTTGTTTTTTGTTCTAATTGTGATTTAGGTTTGTGACATGGCCAACTTGCAGTCTTTAGGTCTTTAATTATTTTGTGTCTCTCCTCAGATTGGAATTAATCCAGGCCTATTGTCAGCTTACAAAGGACATCATTACCCAAACCCAGGGAACCATTTCTGTACGTTTAAATTCAGTTTCATTACCGACTATAATAAATATGAGCCAGTGTTCATTTTCAGTTCTACCCTGTTTGACCCACTCTGGGTGCATTGTCACTATTGTTTTATAGCTAAGGCTTGTTCTAAGAGACCTTAAAGGTGGCCAAGATGCCAATATGATGATGAAATGCAGCTGAATGTTGTAACTTGTCAGGTTTGAATGCAGGCAACAGAATACATCAAATTTTAAAGAGCTTTTCAAAGGTGAATATTGATGTTTAAAGAGTCAGCAAAACATTTATGCAACACTATTTCTGATGTATCCCCCATAGAGTATTAGGATTTGCTAGGTAGGTTTTTCAGAATAAGGGAGTGTCCTTGAAGTTTTTAGATGTATCCCCAAAAGTTGATTCTGGACGTTCATCTGGATGTTGCGTTTTCAGTGAAAGAGACGTTTTACCACTCATCTAGGTGACTTCTTCAGTCTCAGCTGACTGCAGGTTTCAACAATCTTATAAAAAGTACATTTGTATAATGACTGAAACTAGCACCACTGAATGAACAATGGGCTGGGAGGTTGGTTCCTTGATCATTAATATGCAAATTCTCATGACCACTGATCAACAACCACTGATCAAAAACCACTGATCAAAGCTCAGTGATCAAAGACCAGTGATCAATGGTCATGAGTACCATTCACAGAGAGTTGGGGAATGTCTGCAATCACAGCATTGTAAATTGGCGAAAGATGTACCCTTAGGCCCCCTCCTCGATTCAGAGATGGTCTTTCCCTTTTCACGTAAATGGCCTCCTTGCCTCCACGCTCAAACCAGCGTTCCTCCCTGTTCAGGATGTGTGCATCCTCATCATTGAAAGAGTGTCCACTGGCCTGTAGGTGTGAATAGACTACAGAGGCCTGGCTTGACATGTTAGCTCTTCTGTGTTATGCCATCCGCTTAGCGAGAGGTTGTTTGTTTTCCCTGATGTATAAATCCTGGCAATCCTCCTGCCACTTAACAGCATACGCTATGTTACTCTGTTTGTGTCGGGGGACCCGATCCTTGGGGGGGGACCAATTTTTGGCACAGCATGTTTTGGGGTTAAAAGCCACAGAGACATGGTGTTTAGAAAAAATGCGTCTCAGTTGTTCCGATACTCCTGACACGTACGAGATCACTACAGGTTTTTGCTTAGGCTGCAGTTGTCCTTCTCTCCTAGATCGGCTGGAGCTTTTTTTTAGGCGCCTTCTCAGCTTTGACAAATGTCCAGCTGGGATAACCACATTTACTCAGGGCCTTCTTGATGTGATGTTCTTCTGCTTCCCTGGCCGCTGTGTCAGTGGAGATGGTGTTTGCTCTGTGTTGCAGTGTCCTGATGACACCCAGTTTATGCTCCAGTGGATGATGAGAGTCAAACCTTAAATACTGATCCATGTGCGTAGGTTTACAGTACACATCAGCTTTTAGATGTCCCCCATTACTGATGGAAATAGAATAGAATAGAATAGAATAGAATTCAACTTTATTCTCATTGCACACGTCACAAGTACAAGGCAACGAAATGCAGTCTCACAGTCTAAGAAGAAAATTGCCACTTTTCATATCCTCCCTGGTGAATTTGATGTGTTGGTCCACTGAATTAATGTGATCCATGAATTGTGGTACATCCTGAGATTTGATTTTCACCCAGGTGTCATCCACATATCTGAACCAATGACATGGTGGTGTTCCAGGGTAGGATAGCATGTACAAATTGGCCACGATGGGTGAAACTGGGGAGCCCATGGCACACCCATGTTTCTGCCAGTAGAACTGACCCTTGTATGTAAAATAGGTGGAATTAAGACAAAGTTCCAAAAGCAAACACACTTGGTCGATGCCGAGAGTGGTTTTGTTGCTGAGGTTGGGGGCATCCTGTAATCTCTTACAGACTACATCCAACGCTTCCGTGACTGGGATGCACTTTCTCCGACTGAAAACGCTACGTCCAGATGAACAGAATCAACTTTTGTCGATTTACTTACCTGGATGATTGAGCATGCATCAAGACATTTTTAGATGTAGCTACTTAGAAATATTAGCTATAAAATTTTCTGTTGCTTATTTCAACTTCAGGATGTAAAATATCAACATGGATCATTGCTTTAAAATAAATATATTTATATATCTCACCTGAAG